TAGTAGAAACAAGTGCATCGCTACTAGTAACAAGTGCCTTACTACTAACAAGAAGGCTATTAGGAACAGGTGCATCGCTACTAGTAACAAGTCCCTTACTACTAGTAACAAGAAGGCTAGTAGGTTGGAGGCCACGATTCCAAGGCTGCACGATTCCAAGCATAGGCTTGCTTCTCAGTGACCCACGCTGGCAATGGGCACTGACTCAGCAGTCTACTCAATTGAGCTCCTGAGATGAAGGGTGCTTGCGGCTACTTCTCACATTGTCTTCTGGGATTGCAAGCAACTTGTGCCTTCTTGAAGTGCATCAATGGCCATGCTCAGCATACTCCCTGTCCCACTGCCAGATGATGCCTTCATGATTCGGTGAAATACTATGTTGCCCTGTCTAGACATTCACCACTGCCGGGTGTTGAAATGTCAACAAATCCTAAGCGGCCTTGGCAAACCCAGCCACCACATCAAGGGCCTGACATCCCGGTGGCAAGCACGGGGTATCTCATGGTCAACATTGTGACAAAAGTGTGATGTCACGAGTCACAATGATGTCAAGGAATCCAGATCCAATTGTCCTTAAGAACTTGACCTGCCCCAATTGCACGAGTCTGTCGGATGAGTCTGGAAGGTTGGCACCACCACCTGAAAGAACTCCAAACACACGGCTTGTAGCCAACGTCCAAAAATCATTGCAGCAAGAAAGAAGCAACATAAGGGTGTAATAATAAGAGCATTGCTTTTGGGCTTCTTTTCCGTGATGTGTTGTTCTTCTTTTCTTTTGCTCTTCTTGAAACTGCCTAGATTTGTTTGCTCTTGCTGTGTGGTGATTTCCACACTTATTTCGATCTTGGTACAGTACTCTCCCCCTTAAAGATTTGTCAGCTGCTATATATAGACTCATGTAGACTTATAGAACCGCAGCGAAGTACCAAAAGCACTGCTACTAATGCCAGCCTTGGCGTCGTCTGCTTGAACCACTTTGAGAAAAAAGGTTAGAGCCTTGGCAGTTCAAAGCCAAGTTGGTCTGTTGATATCTGTTGACAGTAGAGCTGGGAGCTAGCCAAGGAGCTGTCTACATAAAGCTGTTCTCTGCCTACCTCCGTCTTTCTCTCTCCGGCTCTCTCCCCAGCTCGGCTGCCAAGCGCACGTCGGCCAGCCAAGCAACGGCACGACCAGCCAACCCGACATCTGCTGCTGATCCTTGAACAATCAAATGCAATAGAAGGTTGGCAGCCTATTTTAGCAGCTAAACTCCCAAGGTGCCTGATGCGCCTGCCAGCAGCAAGCCGGGATCCTGGATGCCGGGTGAAACACAGAATCATGCAACACAGAACGGCAAATGCAAAGCAGCTCTTTCTGAGTCGCAAGCAGCTTCACAAAGTGCTTCTGCAATCCTTTCCAGCAACAGCAAGCCCCCCCAGACAAAAACAAGGTGACTAAGCCATTGGCAACTCCACATCCATCACAGCCAGGCCATCGCTGCAATGCCCAAACTATTGAAGCAGCAAATCGTACAAAATGTATCTTGTTCCTAGTAGCTACTTGCTCCTAGTAGCGATGCCAGGAGCCCCTAGTAGCGTCCTGATACTATTGAGTCGTGCAAGCGTCAACCATAAACAACTCAAGTTTGCACAAAGCTGGCAAAAGTCAAGAGCTGGCTATTCCTCTTTTGAGCAGAACAGCTCGATGTTGAGCAAACTGCAGTCTTTCACCACCCTCACTTACCAGCTAATTAATGCTAATTATATACCAAACCAACTATGTCTATTGTACATGGCCTGGATGTCGACCAAAGCCAGTTGGCATCTAGCTCAGCACAATGGACCCTGCAAAACATCATGCAGTCATACAAAGAATCGAATACAGCCTTTTCTCCCAGGAGCTTTGGTCGCGCTTGCCAGCAGCATGGATCTTGCGCTTCCCCAGAGCGTCTTTGCTCCAAGGTGTTGTTCTTCGAAGGCGGCAAGCAAAGGATTGTATTTGTATTTTGAGCAAAGCATTCCGAGAGCATTGAACATAAACAGTTGAACGCAATGATCCCAGAGTTTAAACGGATTATCATTGATCTTCTAAGGATGGCAACCCTCTCACACAATCTTCCTGAACAGTCCATAACATACTACACAACTTCCACAAGAGGCAACAGGTTTTGGGGAATCGTCGGGGAATAAGAAGTTCCAGACCGACTATCTCTTCGACTTGCGACCTTTGGCAACGGGTTCCGCCGGCTTCAGCAATGCGTGACCACTGGCCTTGACAGTTGTAAAAGTGACCAAGCAAGTAGAAATCCACATGCAAGCAGGTCTGCAATACGTGAATTGATAGCCATTGCATACACTTGCTATACTTTGGGCATGGCGTTACCCCCGGCCTTGATGTGTTTGAAAAGAGCCGACCGGCTGGGGAAGTCCTGTGATCAAAATGCTCAAGGCCATCTGCTATGGCCCTGCCAACCACAAAGGTGTCCTCTTTGCAGACACCGCAAGAGTTGCCCTGTGCACAAAGCAAGAACACATGAGCGACGACCTTTATTTAAATACTACAAAATACTACTGTATAAATATATATATATGTAGAATTATGTAGATATATAAATGGTTGTAGTATTTCCACCATTTCGTTCTTTTGATTTTGATATTGGTCTCGTTTTCCAAGCTTTCTACGTACCTATGATGCCACAGCACTACACATGTACAGTAAATAAATGCGGTTGCTCACACCAAACGAGATCAAACGAGGTTAGGTTTTCCCCAGGTTCGTTACAATTAGGTATGCCGCGGCTGTCTGGTTTGGCCCACTCATCTGGTGTCCCTTTCATTGGCCCCTCACATACCTTTCTCGAGATCGGAGCATTGATTGTTTGAAGTCATGGTCAGACCATCTTGCTTGAACTTCCTGGCTTCTTGGGTTGTTCACTTCACTTAGGTTGGCGTGTGGCAAGCTGCAATCAGTTCGTGCGCATTTCCCAAGTGTGTGCTCTCATACGTGTGCTATCATACAAATGGGGTCTATGCGGGCTTTCTCATGACGCGCTCTCGCGTGATTGCTGACATGAAAAAACATGACAAGAAAACCCCCCCCCAAAAAAAGTAGGAGGCACCGAAAGAACCTGCCAAGCAAAAAAACCATCTAAGGCAACAATCAATCAGTTGCGAAAAGGAGATGTTCTAGATCTAAGGCGGCATTCTGTGGGTCGACCGTTCATTCTTTGGGGCAGGTGCGCTAAAGGTTGCTGGCTGTATGTGGTGGGACCTTCAAAAATTCCCGTGTTTCGTGGCATGGCATGTGTTTTTTCATATGGAGGAAGTGCAATTTTCCTGGTGCTTGGGCGAGTTGGGGGGGCCTTCCTGCCAGAGCGAAGCAGACTCAAGCCAGTTTTGTCGCTGGATAGCTCGCATTTGCTGTTTGTGAAACTCGCAAAATTGGTGAAAAGCCTTATATTGCGCAATTCTGAATTCCCGCGCTTTTTCGCAGAGTCCGCGAACCCCTCCAAGACCATTGATTGGTGCCCTTATTGATTGATACGGTACTCCTTGGGGAGTCGTGCATCAGCTGAGCAGACATAACTGTTGCGGCTATAAACAGCCAAACACGCAGCACAGGAGTCATTTTGCATTTTCAAGCGAGAGATCTTTGGCCTTTAATTTGGCATGCCAGAATTTGCATCATCTGTGTAAAGCAGTGTCCCCATTGGTGTAACTCTGTGGGAGCGGCCTGCTGAAAGAAAAAGCTTTTGGGGTGGGCCATCGACAGATGCACCGCGCTGTGCCTTGCACAGTGCACGCTCAGTGCACGCACAGTGCACGCCTCAGTGCACGCCCCAGTGCACGCAGCCACTTCCCTGTAAATAGCAGCGTTTGGCGCTAACGGCATCAAAAAACCATAAAATGTGATTGTTCCAAACTTTTTCGCTTTCAGAGATGCAGCGGCGATTTGCTGCTAA